CCCCCGGGGTTGCTCCCCCTGCCGGCACCCAGACGCGCTGCTGTCCTCGCAGCCCCGGAGCGGGGCGATTCAGTGACGTTCCACCGCGGATGCCTGCCTGTACCCTTCCAGCGCCTCTGACCCGCGTTACGTCCTGGCCAAAGGCTAAAAGGCTGAGTCCTGCCCCAAAACACGTGCGATGGAGCGGCCACGAGGCATCAGAGCCTGTCTTGGTGACAAGGGTCCACGCGCCTATGGGGCACGTAGCACAGCAAAGAAAATGCTGAGCAAGACCAGTGAGGTTGTTTCAAGCATCAGTAGTGCTATGCCCGAGCACAAAGGTCTCTCTCTCTTTTTTTTCCCCCAAAAATCTAAGCTAATGATGATGGTGGCTAGTATGACAGATTGAGAGGAGGCAGGGGGCAGCACTTCTGTCCAGGAGGACCCTAGGAGCAGTGGGAACGAAGTACACGAGGCCTTGGAGAGCAGAGGGAACGAGCAGCTTATTTTTTTTTGACAGCAAAATTTTCCTTTCAGAGCACATCTGTTTGCTTTGAAGCCCCTAATTTTTACGCTGAGAGGCTCCAGCTCTGGAAGCGGGGAGGAGAAGCTGGCATTGCTAAGCTGAGAAAGAGAAAAGAATGAAAAAAAAAAAAAAAAGGCCAGGCCCAGGCTTGGTTATTCTTGTTAGGCGCAGCAGCGGCACAGCTGTATTTCCTCTGCTTTCTGCCCTTTCATCCCCCACCTCACCCTCCCTGCACCCTCCGGCCTTTCCTTTTTGGCTTTTCCAGTTCACAGGTTTCAGCTTTACCTGGCCAGTTGGACTTGCACCCAAAGGCTATTGGAGATGGCAGCGCGGGGCATTTGCAGCATCCCACCTACTCTGGGCGACCAAGCTGCAGCAGAGAGCTGGAGCAGCTTCAGGTCCTGCCCTGCACCGGGTTGCTTTGCCTGGTCACACTGGCCCCAGCGCTGTGCGAACAGTGGTGCTTTCATTTGGTGGATCACAGAGATTCACGCGCCTCTTTGATTTAGTTTCACTTCATGGCTTCGTCCTCATGAATTTTGCAAGAGGCGGCGTTGCTAATTTTATGTCCACTGGTGAAAGGAATCAAAGCCCTGCAGCGGGCGCACCCATCTCTTCCTCCATCAACCAGATAATGACCGATTTTCCTCTGCTCCTCACCCCAAACCATGGGCATGCACAGCAGCACGAGCTGGACCCTAACCAGGAATCCGCACCAACGCTGGCGAGGAGGCGACAAAACCAGGCTAGCGTCACCTGACTTTGGACAGAGATGGTCAAAGTGGTGAAAAGAGCATCTGATGGGAGGAAAAGTCAATACGTGGGAAGTCAGGAAGGTTTGCAGCCAGGCTCGTTGCCAAAACTGCGGCAAAGTTTGCACCTCTCCATCCCGAGTCAATCAGCAGCAAAAGACAGGGAAAGCGCTCACAACTCTGCTAGTCTTTCTTAAGCAGCTGAGATGGCGTTCATCAGAGAGACAAAATCTGATGCTGCCTTTCTGGAAAGGCAAGGACCACCCACCGGTCCACTCTGCTCCCAGCCTTGCCAGTATCTGCATGCATCCCACATCCTCCACTAAATCTCCACCTCCCAGCTTCAAAACAAACACCGGGAGAGCGACTCTTCTCCTGAAGTGCTTGGAGACTATGAAGGGAGAAGTGCTTTCTCCTAGCTAAATACCATGAAGTAGGTTTTGCCCCTGCAGCGTTTCTGCTTGCTGTCCCATCTTGGCGTTGACGCACAGCGAGGAGAACGCATCACTCTTTAATTTGAAATTGGGACTGATGGCTGGATTTTGTATTAAATCTACAGTATACGTAGGAAGAGATGGTCTGCAAGTACAAAAACAATTAAACCTTCTGGTTAAAAAAACATCAAGAAATAAACGGTGGCTGCGCTTCCACTCAAGCAGATCACACAACCTTCATTCTGTCTGCAACCATCGCAGCACCGTGCGATACATCCATCCCGGGAGACAGGCAACAACCGTGGCCCTCCTTTTGCAGGTGGGCACCTGAGGACCGATGATGAGGCAGTGGGAAGGTTTTGAGGTGCCCTGTGCACACCAGGCCCGTAGACTAGCGAAGCCGCCGGCTGGCCGACTAACCCCCACGGCCACTTTTCTGCCTTAGTCCTTCCAAATGGGAACTCTCTCTCTCCAGCCCCGTCGGAGAAACAGCGGTTCCCCCTTCTACGGAGAAACAGCGGTTCCCCCTTCTAAAGGGAACGGCTTTTGGTTTGTGCCACCAACCTGAGGTCTCTCGCTCTTTATTAAAAACCTCTTTTGCCCCAGCAGGTTTTCCTGCCTCCACACCTGGACTAGGCTCAGCAAGAGCAGCTGCATAAACACCCTTGGGAGATTTTCGCCTTGCCCTGGAAGCCCAGCTTTCCTTGCAGCCGGTGTTTTGCAGCCTTTCTGCTGTCATTCTGCGTTTTCTTCAGTTCGAGCTCTTTGATATGGGCTGCACAGAGCATCAGATGCACCTTTACCCAGGCGGTGCACAGGAGTAATTACCTCCCTGCTGTTATATGCGATACCCTATAAAGCCCCCGTCCCTTTTTGCAGCAGGATCACAGGCGTGCTCCCGGTCAGGCTGACTGTCACCACGGATCTCCTGTAAGGCTGCGCTCTCATCAGCGGTCTCCTGTTTCATGCCTGGACCTGACGCTCTTGCCCAATTTGAACCTGTACTGATTTTTCCCCTCATTTCTCTAACTTCCTGAGATGAATATCCATCAAAGACAAAGGAGAAATTCCTCTTTGCCTGCTTCCCTGCAAATCCAGTAAGTACGTGCTCCATGCCTACCTCCAGGTCATGTGGAGATATTAAATTATAATGACTGGGCTTTCAGAGCAGTTCTCGTGGAGCTCTTCCGCCCGGCCCTTGTCAGTGATTTCTCCAAGTTTATAACCCCGTTTCATCTAAGCCGTGGCCCGGTCTAATAAGCAGAAATTTTGGATTCCTTTGCGTCCTTCACTCTGCCAGACACTGCTTTCCAATTTAGCAGGGGCAGTTTTGCCTGCAGCTGCCAGGCTGCTCATCAGACACTCATACCACTCAATCACACGGGTTGTTAGTGTGATTGAGCGCCTTTTTTGCCCTTTGTCTGTTTGGTTTTTTTTCCTCTCTCCCCTCCTTCTTCATCTTTCCAGAAGCATCTCTGGAAAGAGACAGCACTGCAGGCCAACTTTTGGAAGCAGAGGCCAGAACGCGATTGGGATCCTTCAGAAGGGAAGCATCACTGGAAGGCAAAATGCAAGTTAAAACTGCATGCAAATGGGAGGAAAACATACAGGTCTGGCTCACGTGAGCTATCAGAGAGCAAAGAGAGCCTTAACCCAGTGCATAAGCATTTCCCTTTCACGATTTTTATTGGAACAGGAAAATTCAGAGGTTCAGAGAATAGCATCTATTTTGGGTCTGGCTAACACAGCCCAAACCCATAGCACTCTATGTATTGGGCATCAGCTGGAGCATCACTAAACGCAGTCAGTAACAGCGGAAACCGAGCATAAGACGTGGGTGAAGAAGCACTGCTGCCCCATCAGCCTCGGGAACAGGAACCACGATCTGCGCGTTTCCGAGAGAAATCACCGCACTCGAGACACCAGCATTTACGCAGGATCAAGAATTATCTTTATTAGTAGTGGCATCGGACAATTAGGTTGTGTCTCAAGAAGTAATCAGCCATTTCCCTTTGCAACGTCATGGGGCGGATCAGCCCAAGTGCAAAGCAGCCAAGTGAGCAGAATCTCATCGTATCTGGCACGTCGGGAACGTTTATGAGCTGAGGAAAACAAACGTGGAGCCGAAGGCTTCTCCCTCTAAAAGCCTACAGAGGCCACTTGAAGCTGAAAATGTAAGTATTTGAAACGGCACCCGCGTGCGCCCGTCGGCACTAGGAGCAACGTCCCGTCACGCTCAGCCCTGGGTATTTCCATCCGGGAACGCGGTTCACATTTGCAGGCAAGACGCGACCGCCTTCGCGTCCAGAGTAAGTCAGCGTCTAAACACTGAACGAGAAACATTAATGCCATTACCAGTGCCTGTGCTGTTGACTGCAGATGTAGGACAGGGGCGGCGGGGGGGGGGTGAGTTTTTAAGCCTTTTACAGGAGAGACTGATGCAGCCCGGAGCGAAGGGAGGGCTGCGCGGGGCCTTGCACAGATACGCCGGTCGCAAGCCTCCCGTGCAGTTCACGTCAAAACCGGGGTCCTGCGTTCAAGGCACCGGCAGGCTCGTTAGGCCGAGAGCCTAACGAAACGGCGGCGTTAACTTGGGCTCTGCAGAGCCCGTGCCGCGCAAAGTCCCGTGCCATAAAGCTTTTCCTCGGCATCGAAAGCCCCATAAAGTTTTTCCGCTCAGGCCTGGACTTTATGTTTTAAAAAAATCACTCATAAAGCAAAACTGTGTGTGTATTGCCAGTGAGCCCAAACGAAATACTAGAAAGGGGAAAAAAAAAAAAAAAAAAAAAAAAATCCAAACCCATCCCCCCCCCCCCCCAAAAAAAAAAGTTCAATATTTAATTTTTTTTCCAATAACTGAGTCACCAAGTCAAGGTAAAGGAAACCTTTTCCATAGATAGTTTCCCCTGAGGCGTTGACTGTAATGCCTCCTAGACCACAAATCCAGGTAATTTGGGAAGATCAATATAACAACTGTCTTTAGTCCAGGCTGCATTTGCATATGTAAGTTTAAAGTGACTTTAAATGCTAATCCCCCATGGGGGTGGGCATCTTTTTGGGTGTTACAGTAGCTCATCCTTCTGAAAGCATCTGGGTACCATATGCTGTCTGTCTATTTGAATTAACTGATTTTCTACCGCGAACTTAGAAAGCGCAACATCAGAGCCTTTCTAATAACTCGCCATGACTTTTACAGACTTTTTTCAACATAGGCAAAAGGCACCTGAAAAACCACTAAAGGCTACTTAGTATTTCAGTTTCCTTCAAAAAATAAGTTAGTGTCCACAAAGGGCTCAGGGTAGCGAGACAACCCCAAAGCACCCGTTTGCTGAAGGCAGACCTCCTCCTGGGCGCCAAACCAACGCGCAAAGGCAGGCTGCTGGCCATGCCACACCATTTGGGGTCTGCCCTAAAACCGTGCCATGCCTTGCCTTTTGGAAACAGAGAGGGAGAACACCCGAAAGTAGTACCACACAGCACGCGGGGCCCTCCACCACTCCTCTATATGAGGTGGACAACGAGAACGGAGCAGGCGGACCCCAGCGCCAGCCCCAGCATGAGATAAAACGTCATCACCACCCCCGCCGCTTCGGCCAACTCCCTTGGCATGATCTTGGGGCCGTAGATGATGGCTAGCGTTCCCAAGTAGCCGTTGCTGAGTCCTAGGAGCACGGTGAAGGCCACCGGGTACACGTCTCGGTTGAAGACCACGGTTTTGATTCGAGTCCGAGGCTGATAGTTGCTCAGTATGAACAGTGGGAGCAAGACAGTCCTCAGGAGAACGAGAGCAGGCAGCAGCTTGCTCTTTGGGCCCGGGGTCTGGATCCAGGCCGTGATTTGCCTCCCACACCAGTCTGCAAAATTGTACAGAAGGAAACTCGTGAGCGGCACAAAGTACTTGTTGGTCCACAGGCTGCCGGAGGACTTGTTGACAGACTCTATGTTGGAGGAGAGAGAAGGGAAAACGATGATGGAGATGAAGAAGACGTAGAAGACGCAGAAGCCTAGGACAGCAGTCTTCCTCAGGATGGCACGGAGTGGGGGGACATCTCCAGTACTGGTCCCTTTTGCTAAAAGTGAGTTGTTCAAACTGCTTTGCGACCCGTCCTCCAAAGAGCTGCTAGGCGATTCTGCTGCCAGATATGGGCTCTCTTTGTGGCTTCTCATGTAATACCTGAAAGAAGAGGAGGAGGGAAGTCATCAGTCAACAGCTGGGCAAAAACCCAGGACTTGGAGAAAAATCAGACAGAAGCCAGTGGTGCAGGGACATCTGCCAGACCCAGCAGAAGGCTGGGCAGCTCATGCTTCCCACCCAGCCAGGAAGGGGATCCTCCTACGCGGCGAGGAGACAGTGCCACCAGCGTGTCACCCTGGCCGTCTGAGTCTACGTGCAGCCACGCATTCCCAGGCACTCGCCTTCTCCCAGCCTCAGGACACGCTTCTACCCAAGAAGCGCCCTCGGTGATTCGCAGGGGGACCAGGTGTTTCTGAGGGTCACCAACACTGATATGATTTATGAGTCATACACTAATTCAAACAGTACGTCATCAGGACCCGTTTGGCTGGCTATTTCCAGATTTTAGTTCTCTGAAGACCTAGTTCTGGTAATTTGGAGGAAGGCACTTTAGAAGCTGCTTGAGCAGTTTCTGTCACCCCCCCCCCCCCGGGGGGGGTTTCTACAAAAAACACACACGGTGTGTGGTTTCCGTCGAAGCGGGAAGTTCGGCCGTCAGCAGCGCCCGGCAGCTGGAGACGGAGCACGAGGGTCCTGGGCTCAGCTCTCCGACAGGACGCCCAGGACGGGGATCACGCCGTGGGCAGCAGGGCTGACAGGGCAGGGACTGGCGGAGCACACGGGTCTTCCCGGCCACCCCCTTTGGTGGTGCTGTGCTTGGTGCTGCGCTCTTACCCATGCCCGAAAGACGTCCGCGCTGCACACCGCGGAGCTTTCGAGGCAGAAGAAAAGGCAATCCCTTCCTGCCTGCGTTTGCAGCACGCCCGCAGGAGGCGGTGGGAAGCCGACCCTCGTTACCCCGGGGCTGTACCTGGAGTACTCCAGCTTGGGGAGGAGGAGGTAGACCATGATGCAGATGACGATGAAGATGTCCGCCGTCAGGAAGTAGGCCAGGGCGCTGTCGGTAACGTCGGCTGCCGCCGCCAGGTCTATCACGGAGGCGATGGCGCTGACCGTGCCGCCCATGGCCTGGCCTGCAGAGCGGAGGAGAGGGCAAGAGCTCAGCGCTGGGGGCCGAGCTGGCTGCGCAGAGCCGGGCCCAGGCCACCGCATAGCTTAGGGTTCAGGAGAGACATCAACGTGGCAGACAACAGCCCGCAGCGCTCACACCTCCAGCAAGGCAGGATTTGATGGGGATAGTGCAGGGGAGGTAACCCAAAACAGGAGCATCCTCTTACTGAACATCTCCCAGCATGCCCAGCCCACACTTGGGGGCAGCGGCTCACCCTCCTACTGGCTCTCCTCTACCTGTCCCAGAGGCTGCTCCCCAAATCCAGGGAACCACCCCTTTGTGAGCCCCCAAAAGGCCACCTGTATGGGAAAGCCCAGCTGCATGCACCGAGCCACCTCCATTTCCATGCCTGGCTGCATCATGGCTATTTGTGGGGGGGCTGCAGCAGAGCCAAAATCCTGCTGTTCTGCACCCTCTTCCAACACAGCCATAGCACGCTGCATGTGGAGGTGCTGAGCCCTGCTGAGGAGAGGGTCTGAACCTGCCTGAAACCCACACCTGGTGTTCCACCCCTGGGCATCCTCCTGCCTTTCTTCTGTGCTTCCCCAGGGTGGGAGCTCAGGCCACTAGTAACAGGTCTACCCTTCTGCAAAGCGAGCAGCCATCTCGGGGATGTAGTGATTTCCCCCACTGGGTTAAACTCATTAAAGCAGTCCTGTCTTGGCCCGGGGGAAAAAAAATGTCTCTGTCTCTGTCTTGATTTTTTCCCCCTTTCCCTCTTGGTTTCCCAGCCGTTCTACAGCACATTTATTATGTTATCAACAACAGCCAAACCTCCGGGGAGCTCATCACTCACGGCTCCCAATGTGTCCCTCATCGCTTATGGAAATGAATGTAAATGCTGAAGAGGAAAGAGGAGACAATGCAAAGTTTGAGATGTCTCAAGATGCAAGCAAAGGAACTGCAGGACAGCGTCTCCTCCCCCCTTTCGCTGCAGAGAAAAAAAACATTTGGATCCCACGCATTCCTTGGGCACCAGGTGCCCCGAAGGACATTCAGCCCCAGGATAGGGAAGGTGAAGGTCTGCTCCTGTCTCTGCTGAGAGTCCTAAGCACTTCGTTATATGGAGTACGGCAGTTTGTGGGATGTTTACAGAAACAAGAGAGCCAGCTCATGTGACTGAGCATGTTTCTCACACAGCAACTTCCCTTTATCTTAGCCTACAAGCTTTTTTTTTTTTTTTAAAAAGGCAAAGTAAGTTCAGCATTTGATGTTTATTTTAGAAACTTAAATGCCAAATGCAAGCAAAAAAAACCCTTAACCAAGCAAAGAAAATCCCCCATCATCATCCCACCAGGACGCAGCACAAAACGCAGGACGCAAAGCAGGGCCCCATCTGCCTAAGCAGGCGCACACAGGGATCAAGCAGGCAAGAAGTTTCCCATCTCCTCCTCGCCACGCTTGGCGCAGCAGAAGAAAACGAACCTGAGATCAAGGCCTGCGAGTTCTTCATCGGGAAGCAGCTGGTCAGGCCAAAGATGCTGCTGGTGAAGATGGTGGAGGCGCTGCTGACGACCACCACGCAGACAATGGTGATGGCGAAGAAGCGGGTGGTCCAGGTGGAAGCATCTACCTTCACCAGCACCGTGATCACCAAGAAGACGGTCAGCATCACGAAGAGGGAGGACAGGATGCGGACGCCGGCAGGCACCCTAGGGGAGAACGTAATGGGCACCTTTGCCTTCCTGTAGCTTCTCCCCCCCTCTTTAGGCATTTCAAAACCAGGCAGTCTGGCATGACCCTGGTTAAAAGATGCCACAGCCCAGAAAGAGCCCTGATATGCCCCGAGAGCCAGCTGGTGAGGATGATGCAGGGGACACCATGAACTAACTCCTCTGCCCCACGTTGTCTGTCAGTGCTTAGTTGACTCAGTATAGCGATTCTGTAAACCCAGCCAAGCTGTAAACCTCTCTTTCCACCAGGAATCCGGAGGTATTCCCATCACAGGAGCAACACACAGTGGCGACGGTAAAGTCTCCCTGGGAAAGGCTGCAGGCTGGGTGAAAGCAATCCCGTGTCAGTACAAGGTCACCAGCTGCCTCAGCAAGGAGGTTACTTATTACAGAGCCACAAGACTATCAACTCACCTTTGGGGTCAAAAAAGGAAAGAAGAAAGCAATCTCCAGCGAGCCGCGAGGACCAGCCGGACCACGGACGCCAGCCAGAGCCCGAGGGCCATCCTGCCCTACAGCCCTCCCCAGGGACAGTAACGCTCCCTGACCGACCTGTTTTTAGGAGGAACGATCGTGTCCCTGCATACACGGACAACTTTCCTTTTCAAGTAATTAAATGATGAATTTATTAACTATGAGAACAAAGGAGCAATTAAAACAGCGCAACCAAACCAAATCACGACTAACTCCCTGCACGGATGCTCTCGGCAGGGAAGAGGGCGTACTACTTCAGTTCATCTCAATCTGCTGTAATTAAGGCAGGGACAGAAGAGGGTGTTTTTAATCACCCAATGAGCCTGCATTCATGCACCTCTTGTGCACACGCAAGACGCAGTTTCCCCCCCACCTCTCCCAAAGGGTGGGCACAAGGGGTGCCCGCTGCAGTCGGGGCACGCCAGGGAGGGCCTGGCACTCGGCGTGCCCGGCACCCACTTCCCAAAACGGCATTTGAACGGGGGCTTAGTCAGCCTGCAGCTCTCCCTACACAGATCTGCCACAAGGAGTATCCGTGACCACGAAAACGTGACGTAAGGAGACGCTCCTCAGTGATGGGTGAGCTAACCTGGAGAGTGTCCCAGGGTGGATGCGGCCGTTAGACCTGGTGTGTTTGCCAGCCCGGGGAGGGGGGAAAAACATATCTATTGGAAAGCACTTTTGGAAATAACACCTTTGTTGTCTGCTCCTTACCTTTCTGGAGGCAACGCAAAGAGACGGGCTAGGAGTTGCCAAGCCCTTTCAGCGATGCATCTGAGCACCGACTCGGGCAGCATGAGCAAGCAGCTCCACGCGATGCTGCATGGACTGCATACAGACTAACCCGGTATCGCATTTGACTGCTGACTGCAGTAGTCTCTGCAAAATGATTGCTATGCCACAAAAAAAAAAAAACCACACCCTGGGATGGTCCTCAGTCCCTCAGGATGTTCCTCAAGAGGGCCAGAGAAGAGCACAGCTCTCAAAGGTAAGCTAATGCTTTTTCGCGCCCTGCATTCTCTTTTCTAAAAGTTTTCTCTCATCAGGCGTTTCAGGCTGACTTCAGAGCCAGTGCTGTGACGATGGAGAAGGCAGCGGAGCGACACGGCCGGCAGCGCAAGCCGGGGAAGAGCCGCCGTTGATGCAGCCCGGCCTGGCACCGCAGCAGCACTTACTTGTTGACGAGCAGAAAGTTTCCAATCAGGCAGAGCACCGAGGGCACGGTCGACGCAATGGAGATGTAACTCTCAAAGAAGTCCTGCAAAGAGGAAAAAAAAAAAAAAAGTGCATGGCAGGAGAGAACGCAGGGATTTCAGGTGCCACACATTGCACGACTGCAGATTTTGAGCTTTTCCCAACTTAGTTCTTACTCGAGCCCCATGGGCACTGCCTTTTACATATCGGGGCGCAAAGCCATCGCTACTATTAGCCGTCTGCCTTGGAAGCCCGCAACGATTCACGAACCCGTTTGTCCTTCGGCCCGTGGAGTAACTTGGACGCTAGGCGCGAGAACGTGCTCCAGGCAAATCGGCGCGGGGCGTGAGAGCGGGACAGCTCTTCTCTCTCCTGGTCTCCCTCTGCGCGCCCGTCAAACGGATTGAGGCTCGGCCGGCCTTCACTCCACCCGCTCCTAGATCACCCGAGAAACTTGCCCAAACTGTCCACCACTATTCACCATCCTGCCTCGCACGGAGGTCACCATGGGCCAGGCCGGACGCAGAAAGCAATCACTACAGTAAAGAGATTTCTGTCCCAAGATTGCAGCCAAACACTGACATTTTCAACCCGTTCTACGTATTACGCTGTTAAACCAGGCTCTATTTTTCCACGCTTTGAGGTGCGCAAGGCCTGCTCAATTCTTTTTTTTTTCCTGGGGAGCCTCAGCCAGCAGGTAGGACCATCCTCATGGAGAAGGTTCCCTCCATACACACAGCACGGGAGCTGGTGCTCCCTTTTCTGCACTCACCTAGCTACAGAGCCGGGGCCACGTCGCGTCCAAGAGGCACTTGGCACGTTTTCTCTACGCGCTTCAGTTTTGCGGCTTTGCATTGTCGTCTTTTAATCAGTTTACAAGCACGTTAATTTATTCTTCCCCATCAAGAGCGTCACTGTAAGCACCAGGAAATCTAATAATTGCTCCTAGCAGCTCCGTACAGACATAAAGGCACGCACACGCTGCGTCTGCTCGGTGGAACAGGAGGCTTCAAAGCTCTAGGGTCACACAATGAATTATAGGAGAGAAAACAAAGCAGAACGCAAAGCTGACTACGACAAACAAGCCCTATTTAGGGACCTACCCAAAACAAACGCACGCCAAACCAGTCCAGGGATGCTCGCTACAGTTCCAAAAGTTATCTTGCAAGGAAAAAAGTTTCATGAAGCTTTACGCCAAACAGAAGCACATCCACATTTCTAGCGATTCAGCAGCGGTGCTGCTTTCGCAGCACCACCGGGAAACGTCCCCCTGCTCTAAGCAAACACGCACACACGCAACCAGCCGGAAAGGAATTTTCAAAGTATTTAAGAAACTTAGGTGTCTGCGTTGAACTCGGTCGCCCTGGGAAATCTTGCTCTGCCTTATCCACGGCCATACCCTTCTGGAAAAGGGTGGACAAGTAGAAGGGTTTCGACTGCAATTGTTAAAGAGTCAGGAGAACATAAATACCAAACAAGACTATGAATCGGAGTCTTCAATTTCTGAAAGGAAAAAGCATAACAGTGTTAAGCATGCTGCTTCAAACAGAACTGTAGCCCATCCAGAAGGTGTTAGCACAATGCTTTGGCTGCTGTTTCGGTGTGCACCCCTAAAACCTTGCCAGCGCAGAAGCAGAACGTCGGACAGCAAGTTCAACCCCTGCTTTAACCAAAGGACAATATCAGGCTCCGTACTCATTGCATCTCTTCGTTTCTACTCGATAGACCCATCCCAAATAGCAGCTCTTCTCCCCATCCAGACCCTCCTGCCACCAGCATCCCTCGGCCGCCAAAGCCAAGGCCCGTCATGGAGGCGTCTGACCCAGCATTAACCGCAGCATCTTCAAACCCGACGCGGCGTTATTCCCGCGGCGTCCTCGCTGCTTTGCGAGCCCAACAAGGGCGAAGCGCCGCTGCAGCAAATTAGTCACCGGCGTCGGCCGGCGCTGCCCTGAGTTGCCAAGATGCTTTTTGCATAGTAGTAGTTGTTCAGCTCTCGCCTAAACTCGGCGGCAGAGGCTCCCGCTGGGCTAAAAAAGGGACTCGGGCCCACAGTGGGGGCTCAAGGCACCAGAGCGTTACCTGGATCACAGGGCATGAAACCACCAGCAGCTTTTTTTTTTCCTGGGGAGCCTCAGCCAGCAGGTAGGACCATCCTCATGGAGAAGGTTCCCTCCATACACACAGCACGGGAGCTGGTGCTCCCTTTTCTGCACTCACCTAGCTACAGAGCCGGGGCCACGTCGCGTCCAAGAGGCACTTGGCACGTTTTCTCTACGCGCTTCAGTTTTGCGGCTTTGCATTGTCGTCTTTTAATCAGTTTACAAGCACGTTAATTTATTCTTCCCCATCAAGAGCGTCACTGTAAGCACCAGGAAATCTAATAATTGCTCCTAGCAGCTCCGTACAGACATAAAGGCACGCACACGCTGCGTCTGCTCGGTGGAACAGGAGGCTTCAAAGCTCTAGGGTCACACAATGAATTATAGGAGAGAAAACAAAGCAGAACGCAAAGCTGACTACGACAAACAAGCCCTATTTAGGGACCTACCCAAAACAAACGCACGCCAAACCAGTCCAGGGATGCTCGCTACAGTTCCAAAAGTTATCTTGCAAGGAAAAAAGTTTCATGAAGCTTTACGCCAAACAGAAGCACATCCACATTTCTAGCGATTCAGCAGCGGTGCTGCTTTCGCAGCACCACCGGGAAACGTCCCCCTGTTCTAAGCAAACACGCACACACGCAACCAGCCGGAAAGGAATTTTCAAAGTATTTAAGAAACTTAGGTGTCTGCGTTGAACTCGGTCGCCCTGGGAAATCTTGCTCTGCCTTATCCACGGCCATACCCTTCTGGAAAAGGGTGGACAAGTAGAAGGGTTTCGACTGCAATTGTTAAAGAGTCAGGAGAACATAAATACCAAACAAGACTATGAATCGGAGTCTTCAATTTCTGAAAGGAAAAAGCATAACAGTGTTAAGCATGCTGCTTCAAACAGAACTGTAGCCCATCCAGAAGGTGTTAGCACAATGCTTTGGCTGCTGTTTCGGTGTGCACCCCTAAAACCTTGCCAGCGCAGAAGCAGAACGTCGGACAGCAAGTTCAACCCCTGCTTTAACCAAAGGACAATATCAGGCTCCGTACTCATTGCATCTCTTCGTTTCTACTCGATAGACCCATCCCAAATAGCAGCTCTTCTCCCCATCCAGACCCTCCTGCCACCAGCATCCCTCGGCCGCCAAAGCCAAGGCCCGTCATGGAGGCGTCTGACCCAGCATTAACCGCAGCATCTTCAAACCCGACGCGGCGTTATTCCCGCGGCGTCCTCGCTGCTTTGCGAGCCCAACAAGGGCGAAGCGCCGCTGCAGCAAATTAGTCACCGGCGTCGGCCGGCGCTGCCCTGAGTTGCCAAGATGCTTTTTGCATAGTAGTAGTTGTTCAGCTCTCGCCTAAACTCGGCGGCAGAGGCTCCCGCTGGACTAAAAAAGGGACTCGGGCCCACGGTGGGGGCTCAAGGCACCAGAGCGTTACCTGGATCACAGGGCATGAAACCACCAGCAGCGAGCCAAGACGAGTCTACCGGCTGCAAGAGAGCTGGGCTCGGCTCCCGACAGGAACAAAAAAAGTCCTACCGCAGGGGCGTCTGCCCATCAGCCCCCCGACGCGAGAAGGTACCAGGGCTGCACGCTGCAAACAGCCAAAGACGAGCACAGTTTTAGCATCGCCAGCGACTTAGCCGGGGAAAAAATCCGGTGCTCTCAGTCTGCGCGCGGCGATCGAGTCACCAAATCCATCGGCGCTTAATTCCCTCTCAGATGCAGAGGGCAAAGGAAATACATAGGTGGGACACGAGCTCGACACGAGCAGGTTGCTCAGGAATTTGTAGCAAGCCAGGGCTTGCTATGTTTTCTACCGGTACCTCCTCGTCCTCCCCCACCGGCTGCGGTATTTACAGAGCTCAGTGAGCAGGGCAGGATACTGCTCTCACCCCCAGCTGCAGCGCGGCCTTACAACGCTGGGCCAGGAAGCAGGAAGGAGTCTTTCCATTGGCTTTTTACAAGAACATGAAAGACCCAGGTGCTTCTGCGTCCGGCTAAATTTAAAAAAAAAAAAAAAAAAAATAAAATACCTTGCACCCAGCAGCGCGGGACATGAATTCAACTACTGGCACATCACCAAGGAAGTAAACAACCTGAGCGCAAGGAAGGCCGGGAAGCAGAACGCGTATCGAGTCGGGAGAGGGCGGCAGGATCTGCTGGCTCCCTGCTCCCAGCGTGCTCTCGCCTCCGTCCCTTCGCCCCCTCCACCCCGGCAGCTCCCTGTGCCATGCTGGTACCAGCATCTTTGCAGGACCATCACCCTCCCCCTATCAAAAAAAGCAGCAGGCTTGAGGCCTGTCCAAGTTATCACAGCTGTGAAAGCAGGACTAGGGAAAGGGTGAGCCTTACACCTGGCTCTGTGTTTAAACTTAAAAAAAAAAAAGGGCCCAAACGGCTCGAGCAATGGGAGGAGAGGAGCGGTTTAGAGCAGGACACAGCCCCGCGCCACCGACGCTTCTTCCAGCACGGGGAAACAACCCCAAGACAGCCCAGAAACGAGGCAGGAATGGCGCGGGAAAGCCGCCGGGCCCCTCGGCCAGCACAGCCACG